AGCGGTACATGGCCGCAGAGGCAAAGGCATCACGGCGGAGAAGGTGCGTGCGGGTCACAGGAGAAGTGCATTCAGAGGCCCTTGGGAAGGGCCCGGCTATCCTTTTCAAACCTCAGCCTCCTGCCTTCCAGGCTGTCGTCGCACCTCCTGGCGCTCGCCTCCTAACCAGCAGGAACCGCCTGTCTATGGGTGGGTGTTGCTGCCGAACGACGCCTGCAAAAGGCAGGGCTGGGCAACGCGGGACACTGGGGCACAGCGCCTAACGGAGTGGGACGTCTGCCTCCGCCTCCGCTTCCACTTCGACCCCGACTACCTCGCTGCCGCATCTCTGGTGAAAGCACATGCCGGGGAGGAGCTTCTCCTTCATTTTGTAAGTGTACTTCGTGGGCCTAGAACTCCAGTTTGCATTTATTTTCTATCAGCATTTTCAAAATATCAACCCATTGTCTTAAGCTGCCATCATTTCTCGTGAGAAATCAGTTTTCAGTCTAATGATTGCTCCTTTGAAGGCAGGCCTACGCCGACTTTTTGCCCAATTAAAAATATAAATGGAGGCCCATGATCCTACGTCACTCTTTTTTTTCTCCTACCCTTGTGCGTCTCATGAGCTTTGCATGCTTAAATAATCCAGTGCACATGATCAAGCTCTGTGAACGCTGATCCGGCCTCTGTGTGCACACTCCTGTGGAAAGAGGGCTGTGAGACCTGGAACTGGACTTCAAGCTGTTTGGGCAAGGAATTCTGAAGTCTCAGATATTTGAAGCACGATTTGTAGAATGTACTGGCTGTGGTATATCATCTAGACTTTGCAAGATCCTTACCCTGCAGAGAATGACTGGCCATTTAGGCCAGGGGCCACAGTTACCTGTCTAAAGGTGGTGCTGTACAGTTTAAAGGTCTTTTGTCTCAGACTGTTTTAATTTTTTTTCTCTTTGTCTTTGGTTTTTGGTAATTTATTACAAAATGCCTAGGTGTGATTTCATTTACATATATCCTGTCGGGGGCTTATAGCTGTGCTAGTTGTCAAGCTACTCTCTCTTACCTCCAAATCACCTTTAGCTTTGTGATGGGCAGAATCTGGAAAGTATACTTCTTCTTTGCCAGCTGACCCCTCTTAGGTTCTGGCACTACAGGGAGACTACTTTCTTGTTTCTGTCAGGTTCACTCCAGCAATAGCTAGGGTTCCACTTTCCAGCTTTTACTCAGCACTCCCCAAACTAGTCTCATCGTGCCCTCTCAGACAAATCAGCAGCAGCCAGAAAGCTCCCCTTCCAGTTCCACCCACCTCACTGCCATCAAGTATATTTTGACTCATAGCAACCCCCTTACGGTTACCAAGGCTGTAAATCTCTAGCGAAACAGACTGCCATATCTTTCTCCTGTGGAGCCCTTGGTGCTTTCAAACTGCTGACCTTTCGGTTCGCAGTGGAGCACTTTAACCACTGTGCCACCAGAGCTCCTGCCCAGTTCCACAAGACCCCTTATCCAAGCCCCTGAGATACCAGCACAGATGGGCAGCACTCTCCTTCAGGGATTTGAGTCCCAGTTCAGGGGCCCTCTCCTGCAAACTTCTAGTTGTTGATGACTCAACATCTTCTCTTTGCTTTCCTAGCTCTAAGGATGGTAGCCCCTATGGCTGCTAACCAAAGATCAGTAGTTCGAATCTACCAGCTGCTCTTTGGAAACCCTATGGGGCACTTTTACTCTGTACTATAGGGTTGCTATGAGTCGGAATCCACTCGATGGCAATGGGTTTGGTTTGTTTTTTTTAAAGATGGTAGCTACTTCTTATAATTACTCTCTCTGTATCACAGTAATGTTACCTTTTTGCTGTTGCAATTTTCAACTTTTTTAACCAGATTTTCATATTAAATTACATTGCTTTGTCCCATTTTGTCTGTTTTCTTTTTCAGACTCAAAATGCACATATGTTAGCATTTTTTTAAACCGTTTCCTAGATTTTTATTCTTTTATTCTGTATTTTCCATCTTTTTTGTCTTTGTATTTTAGTATTGCTATTTCCTATTGACCTACATTCTAGTTTATTAATCTTTTTTCTGCTTAATTTCAATTATTATACTTTTCAGTTCTAGAATTTACATTTTTTTATTCTAGTTTTTCATTTTGCCATCTATTTTCTTGAATACATTACTCAAAGTTAATTTAAATGCATGTCTAATAACTCCAATAACCGGATTGCCCGTAGGTCCGTTTCTATCGTCTTTTTTTTCTTCCTTGGTTTTTGGTCATTTGGTTATGTCTTCAGGAATACCTGACTCTTTAAAAAAAATTGAGTGTCAAAAATTGTACAATGAAAAATTGTAGAAATAAAATTGAGACTCTGACTGTTGTTATGTTACTCCAGAGAAGAATGGCTTTTGCCTTATGTGGGCTGTTAGGGTAGAAGCAGGTCACCTTAATCCAATCTGAGATTGAGCTGTTTTAAAACGTGTTTCAAAGACTGGTCTATTTCTTGTTAATCTTACTCCTAGGGTGTAGCTTTTCCATGCCCTTCCATGGTCTTAACTAAAAGCGTCAAGTTACTACCAGCCTCCTATTCTTGGTGGACCCTAAACTCCTAATTTTAATTTGGATCTGCTTGGCTTCTCATCCTCTTAAGACACCACTGTCCGCTCAGCTTCTTATCCTGCTGTGGGCTACTTAGAAAATGGCAAATATCTCATTTGGAAAACTGATACAGACTATTGGGCTCACATTAAAGCATTTTCCTTCTTTTTGGGATCTTGGCCCGACAAATCCTGGCTGCCTTGATAACCCTGAACTTCAAGTTTTGTGTCCACACGCCCATGAGACTGCCAAAACTTTGGCTCAGGCTCTCAGTCTCTAGCTGTCAGTTTCTGCTAGGCTTAATCTTGTTGAATTAGCATGAAATAGAAGGTATCTTTGTCTAGTTTCTGTTTTCAACGGGACTCCGATAATTAAGTTGCCTGTTTATCACGTGAAAAAATTCTCTATTACTTTTATAAAGTCTTAACAAAAAAATTGTATTTTAATAAATGTTAAAATTGTATTTTAACAATATGATCTAATAAGATAATAATGTGATTTTTTAAAACTTAAGTTTATTGTTAGAATTGTTTATTATTTTACTAGTGTTGCAACAAATCCTCACTCCTGGGGTTAAATATATTTAATATGTTATGCTCACTTGTTAGATTTTGTTTAGAAAGGAGATACCTTCCCTACCATGTAATATGTGCATTTATATGTGCAAAGATCATTGTCTTTGACAAATTTCGTAAGTAGTCACTTTTCTTGTAGGAAATAATTTTAACTAAGTGGCCTTTTTACAGGCTACAGGACAGCTATGTTGGAATGGTAGAATATGAGATCATCTAGATCACAGAATATTAGAACTGAAAGGAACCTTCAGCATTTTCCAGTTCTGCTTCCGTATTTTACAGGAGAGGAAACTGAGGCCCACAAGGCAGAATAACTTGGGCAAAGTCAGTGTGAGTTTGTGACCTTATAATTCATGTCTTCTAATCTACAGTGCTGCCCTCTGAACCAAATGCAATACCATACTTGCCCATTCTATCACTATATCCCATACCACAGTAAAAACCAATAGGGCAAATGTCTTGCATGGCACTACGCATTTATTTCATCAGATGTTTGATGGTTTCTTTGCTTGGCAATTGTGGTATGCTTGGGTTTCACTCATCTCCAAGTTCCCAGTTGTAAGCATAGACCCTGGCATCTTCATCCATGGGCGCCAACGCCCTTTTCTGGGTTCAGTGATGATGTTTGCCTAATATCTCCTTTTTTAGGCAACTGAAGCTATGCCCAAGATGTCACGGTCACATGTATGGAAATAAAAGAAATTTTATTCTCCTCTCTGCTAGATAGTTGACTAAGCAGAAGGTACTAAACGTAAAAGCAGTCCTTATGGCAATGCATCTACCCTCATGTGGCCCCCCACAAGATATCCAACACAATCTGAAGGAGGAGATCCATTGGTTGTAGAATATCTTCTCTCATTCTATGATCCACTCCAGATCTCTGCTATTCTCCACTTGATGTCTATGTTTTACGTAAGAGAAAGGAAGCTTACGGCCTTAATTTCTGAACCAAAACTGGGTTTTGAGTGATGACAGAGGTTTTGTGAGCGTATGTATTTTTTTGGGTTCATGAGGGAATTAGGAAGATGTAATATAGTTGCCAAATGTTGGGATATTTTGTGTACTTTGATGATTTATGGACAAACAGGATAAAATATTTGAAAGGGGACTATTCAAGAAAATACATAGAGTCACTGTACTTAGAAACCTGAAGATGAACCCAATCTTCTCCACCCCCCATCACTCACATTCTGTCCGATAAGGAATTCCCAGTGAACCATAGACAGGCTCATATAGAGGGTGTGACTAGCATAGGCTATGCTACAGGGTGAACATCTGAGACAGTCTTCCCCTCCATGTGGGAATAGATGTCAGGTGAGTGTAAGGAGCAGGGGAGTTAAAAGAGTTGAGGAAATAGCCTGTGACTTAAGCAGTTCCTTTGAGGAAGTACCCTCAAATACTTTAATTAACAAAAACCCTGACAATAGAGTCCATTTTGGACCTACTGTTTTTGACTCTTGATTCTGAATTAAGCCCCAAAGAGAACGTCAGTTTCTATATAACTTTCTAGGAGGGAATTATGGGACTTGTATTCCTTAGTGTGATTTTAAACTTTCCACCTTTCCATCTCTCTATTCCATGATTGTCTCTCCTTGATTGCTGAACTCTCCTCCTTATACAGAACTATCCACATCTGATACACTGTTTGACTCTGTCTTGATAACAAGACCAAAAGAGCCTGGCTTGGCCCTGACCTCACCCTTTCACCCTTTTGGTGGAGTGCTGCTTTGCCATGTTGGAGCAAGGACCCATGAGGCCTGGGTTCCTGACTACAGCAAGGGTGGGCAGGGTGGAGCTCGGGAGAAAGATCACTTGGGTGAGACACCTGACAGAAGCTGAAGAGGACTGCTTCCTTGATTATAGAGTTAGGGTCCAGGGTCACAAGCCAACTGTTTGGAGAGTTGGGTCCTTAAGCCATGGGCAGAGCCTCCTGAGGGCTGCTCTCTACTGCTGGACAGTGATTGTCTCAATTTCGGGGTCATCCAGGAAACTGGAGGCCTGATACTTCTGCACCAAATAAGAAGAGGTTGTGGATGTATAAGGGAGAGATATTCCACCCCTTAAGCCCCATCCCTAGCCTCCACTGTTCTTGGGATTTCATTACTCCTCCAGGGAATGGGCATCACTGGCTCTGGGAGTTGGAATTCTTTGATGATAATGTGGCCCATGGGAAAGAGCACTTGCTGGGTGCTAGGAGACAAAGTGGCATAACCTAACAGAGCTTAGTTTTTCATCAGGAAAATTCCTCCAGCTTTCCTCAGAAGAATGTTAAAATTAAGTAAGATCATAAATCCAAAAGGACTTTAACCAACTGAAAGTGCTCCTCATATGTAAAGGTTTACAATAATTATGTTCGGAATTTAGGTAAATAGGAGATCACTTATCAGCTATTTCCCATTTTCAGCACTGAGCAAATTAAAGCATAATGATCTATCTCTAAGAGGCATTTTTTAAAATTTTATTATGGCCAACTATCTGAGACCAACAGCACAGGGACAAATTCTGTTCAAACAGGAACCTAGAGGGTTCATCTTCTCCATTTCCTGTTTCAGGTAGGACCATATCTGAAAGATGTCAAACTGATGAAAAAATTCGTATCTATTTTAAAGCCCTCCGCAGGGCATGCTGCTATCATCTTTCTTGACTACCCAATTCTCTGTTTCTCAGTTGTCACTATTGGAAAGTAATTCTTAAAGTCTAAATTAAATCCCTGATGAAGTAGCCTGATCTTTTCCCCTTAGTGTTGTTCTTATGGAGAAGAAATAGACTATCTCCCAATGTTGGGGCATTTGGACTCCTAGCTTTTATTAATTTTTTTGGCCTTCTTTTCTTAGACTAACAAGTTCCTGACTCTATACCCTTTCTTCATGGCTTTCCTTTCCTATTTGTCATTTTTTTCTATGTTCTGTATTCCCTAAGTCGAATGAAGAGAATCTCCCAAAATGTGATATATTGAGATCGAAGACTGGTCCTGAGATTCCAGAGATTTCTGATGGGGTCTGAGGATTGAGGAGGAGACTCTGGCTCTGTAGTTAAGGATTAGTTGAGAGTGGTGGGGGCCACCTCCTGCCCCTTTGTGAAGAGCTGTGTGTGGTAAGTACAGGCTTCAGAAGGCTCAAGGCTCAGAGCTAGCTATATTCTTGTCCACCACACCTATGTCCAGGGGGATTATATCTCCCTTGGGGACTATCAGAAGAGGCCTACTTACCCAATCCTGGATGCAGATGACATGGGTGTCTTGGAGCAATTGCTCATACCTGAGGTAGACACAAGAATGAGTCATCCTGCTACAGGGATCTGGAAATGTTTCCCTAAGAATCAACCTCACATCCCTAGTTTGGAATATAGCCAGTTAGAGTGCAAGGGGCCATAACTTGTGGTTTGCTAAGCCTGCCAGAGAGGCAGTTGCAGAATATGGCATCAGACATTTGGCCACCTGCAAAGTGTAGTGAATTATGGCCATCTGACCTCTGTTCAGCCAGTGCTGGGCATTTAGGAGTAACCTAAATACTTGAGCTTTAGGGCACTGCCACTGGAACAGGTCCCTGGTTTCTTCTTGTTTCTGTTTTTTCTATGGAAAATGGGTACAATGAGACTTGAATTCTCATCTCACTCTGAATTTCCCTCCTCTCACAATCACAGGAAGCAGATAAGTAACAGGAACAGATAGGATTCTAAACCTATATTTTTATAGCCTGTGTCATCAGGCTGGGTGTTTATAGGATTCTGCAGTGACTTCTTTGGAAATCAGGCTTCCTTGGTTTAAGGAGAGTATCCTTCAAGAGGAGCTAAGGTTGGCCTTTTGACCGTAGACCCACAGAGGATCAGCATCCAAGAAATTTTCATCTGTAGCTCACAGTGGACTTGGCAAGGCCATAAATCCTTATCGGTCTGGAGTGAAGGTGAATGCTGAGGCTTAGAGAAAGATCAAAGATCAAAGGGGGTCCTTCTCTGAACTGACTTTGTATTTAAAGATCTCCAAGAAGGTTAGGACACTTATGGACCTTTTTTTTCTTTTTTCGTTTTTTTAGTGGGAGGACTAGAAAAGCATTGAGTGATTCTAATTCTCAGAGTAGACAGAATCTCCTTTGGATTTCCTTTTCCCCCTTCCTCCTATACCTATATTTGAAGTCTTCTCAACATTTAATGCGGTTTAGAAGTCTCTATATTAAAGCTTATTTCATTCGAACATTAGAGGATCTTTCTTTGCACTCAGTCATTTAGATTCTTGATACTCAGAGTATGATCCATGAACCAGCAGCAGTACCACATGGGAGCTTGTTAGACATACGGAATCTCAGAATATTGAGACCTGCCCGAGACCTACCAAATCAGAATCTGCTTTTTAACAAGGGCCCAGGTGACTTGTATACACATGAAAGTTTGAAATACTCTGATTTCTAAGTTCCTTTTTGGGTGGGTAAAGGAAAGAGCTCCAAATATGGATTTTATGCTATAACGCCAGGCTCTTGGGTATTTTGAGTATTTTTATGAAACACTAGAATTTGCATCTGGGCATCTGAGAACTGTAACTTGACCACCCTAAAAAATCATTCCACTGTGACCTCCCTACCACTCCATCCCCATACCAATGTTGCTAAGCCCTTACAGCAGAGCTGGAAAGCTGCTCACCTCTGTGCTTTTTGTCTCCCCTCTACGAAAAAACCCATGTCTGACTGAGGAATGAGGGTGTCCTCAGGCCCTCAACAGCCAAACAGCCATCCCAAGAGAGAAAAGCCTTTTCATCTTTATCAAGGCAACTGTGCTGAATAGACGAGAGACTAGAAGTGCTCATGGAGGCTTCAAGGAAAGCCAATGCCCAGCTTGGCTGAAGGAGGAAAGGAAAAGAGAACCTGGATTCCAGTTCTAAGTCAGATTGAAGATCCTAAGAAGACTTTGGGGTGAACTCCTTCTTGTTCTCTCCCACCACTCTTGGCTTATCCAAACCTTAGAATACTGCTCTTTTACCTCGGATCTGAGCGTCTTCCTGCAGCTGAAAAATAATGAGATTCAGAGAGTCAGAGACTCAGGGGGCTGTTCTCCTCTGAACCTTCAGTATACTAGCTATAGACTTGGTCAAATGAAGAAATGTCTATTTGGGAAAAATAGGCTTCTTCAGAATGGGAGTAAATTCTAAGTTTCCCAAAAGCAGAATTTGTGTTGACTTTGTATCCTCACACCAAACTACTTAACATAATGTTTTGCATATAGCATATGCTCAGTAAATGTTTGTTGAGTGGTGAATAAATAGCAAGCACATGGGATCACCATGAGTTGGAATCCACTTAAAGGCAATGGGTGAGCTCTAGGGGTAGAAGACACAATTCATTACTTATAATCATAGCTACTGATACTATGGCCTTTCCTCTTTTGTTCTTTCCTGCCTTTCAGCTGTCCGTTTTCTGGCCCCTTTCATACTCCTAACGGAGTCTCCAGAGGTTCTCTGTTGTTATGAAGAACTTTAAAAGAATCTTTCTAACTCATCCCAGAGTAAATAGCTACTGATTATACACTTTGGGCCCCTGAGTTCACAGAACAGGCAAGATGGTCTTTCTGAGTAAGAATACTCTAGGACTGCATCTTAGGTTTGCCTAACAGCAAGAAAGTACATTCTAATTCATTCTAATTCTTCCTTTCCCTACTGGTCCTTTGGTTGATTTTCTTCCCTTAGCATTTAGGTGCAAAAATTGCCCCTATATGTCTGTGACTAGATGTCTGTTTTGTCCGCACCAGCCTGAGGGATCTGTGAGGGCAAGGGTTGTGTCTGACTCCATGAGGAAGCACCAGAAGAAAGCTTCAGCACAGGGCATGTCAGACATGCCTGTTAACTTCATGTATAAGCCCTGAGAAGATGGAGTCAACACACATAAGTCCCACTTACACATAAACCTCCTCCTCCTACTAGCCCAAGTCCTGCCTGGAGGAGCCCCAGGCCTTAGAGGATTAAAGTTTGGATCAGAGTGGAGGTACCCCAACCTAGAAGCAAAACCTGAATGAAAATGTAAGGCTCTGATCTCTATCCACTGCCCCCTTTTACCTGCAGCCAGGAAGAGGCAAAGACTGCTGTAACCTGCTCTAGAGTAAGGCCTAGACATAGCAGGTTACACAGATAAGGCTTCTAAGACTATAGAAGGGGGCTCAGTTCAGAGGCCAAAAGTGGTCCAGATAGTGAGACAGAGGAAGTTTATTTTCAATGCCTTCTCAATCCCTTTGCCCGTCATCCTTCCCCAAGTAGGAAGAGACAGCTACTGTTTCTAAGACCACACAAGGCTCATATTACATTTAGATTCTAATTTTAGCAAAATTATATCTGTATTCAAAGGAAAAAATTTAAGAAAATTTGTAAAGAAGTGTCTCATTTGCCCTGATTTTATACCACTTGTACGTGTCCTAAATTTCGCCTTTTTTTATGTTTATAGCTTTTGTAAATAGTCTGTTGATAAAGAATTGCGTAGATAGTGCCAGTTGCTCACACTGTAACAGACAGCAAGACAATAAGATGGGACTGTGGGCTTGAAGGACTGAGACATACCAGCTCCACGGGAAAACTAAATAACTTGGTGTCTGGGATAGGCCAATGATATAGTGCATGTTTGACTATATTTTTAAAATATTTGATCAATGTTTGTTTAGAAAAGAGGCTGAAATCTGCATGGAGAAAGAGCAGAGACTCAGGGGGCTCTAACTTCTAATTCGCACTTTCCTATGGTTAATAGACACACTCTCCTGATAAAGCAATTTAACAAGTCACTTGGGGACCCACTAACTCAGTCACTTATCAGTGTTCCATACAACCACATAGAGTATTCTTGCTGAGAAAAGCTCTGACAGATAGAATTTTCTTTCTGTTATTATGTTTCCCACAAGGGAATTGTTAAGCATCTTTTTTGCCTTAGCTGCCTCTTCTGACAAGTCAATGCTACCCTTTAAATGGGGAAATCACTAGATAAAGAAATGAAGCTAAAACCTTGAGCAGAGTCTCATTAAGGTATTTAGGAAAATGGGAGCAAGGGCTGGTGGCGAGGCCAGGGAGTTTAGAGAATTGGAATATAATCTCACCTCCTTTTGTATATCCTTAAAAGCCATCAGCACCTGATAGAACACAAAAATAGAAAATGTTATGTATTATCACTTTATAGTTTACAAGGGGATTTTATATATAGAATTGAGTTCCAGTCGCTAAACTGTAGAGTATGAATGCCTTTACAAGGGTATTTTATATATAGAATTGAGTTACCTAATACCCCAGTAGCTAAACTGTAGAGTATGAATGCCAGGAGACTATAGCCTTCTAGCTCCAGCAATAAATCTCATTGACTTCCACTCTACATATATTTCTAGGCCACCATTTCTCCACGTGGTAAATGGGTAAAATACAGGAAAAGTTAGTAAAAGGAGCATATAGTGAAATCCATTATTATATTTTGTTTGTATAATTGGACCTTTTTTGAAGCTAAGTATAGCTATTAAAATCAACATATATCTGTATTTAGATTATAATACATAGAAGGACATTACCAAATGTTGGTGAGAATATAGAGCAACTGGAACTCTCATATATTGTTGGAGGAAGTGTAAAATGGTATGATCACTTTGGAAGCTTTGGCAGTTTTTTATTAGCACTAAATACGACCCAGCCACAGATGGATATAGTGACTGGTGAAACTCTGTGTTGCATTACTTTGGGGAAAGGATGAGAACTTTACTTTAAGACAAACAGTTATATCTTATTTGGTGGAAATATAGAGTTGTTTTGTTGGTATTCAGGAGTTTCAATGTGTGTATAAGGGTGCAATACAGAAGTTGAGTAGCCAAATGGGTAGACTGTGCCAATTACCAATTTATTGCTTCTCAGCTCCAAATTCACCCCTTGCTATATCATAGGTATCCCATTATTTACTGTTTTCCAACAGAATGATATTCTGATCCCTGCATAATCAACTTACCCTTTAGCTAATACAGTAATAGTAAGAAAATAAAATAATTGTGCTAATTCACAGCATTTTAATTAAGAAGATTATTTCTTTCGGTAACACTTCCAGGAGGAATCACTGAATCACAGAGAATTAAAAAAAATTTGTTGCACTAGTCGTTTCGTATAATATTGTTCAGTGGGGGCTGGCAACAGAAGCTATGAAGAATTTACTCACTTTCAATCAAAAAGCCATAGTCATTGATTTAACAAACAGTTTTTTCCTGCTCAGCTCCATACGGGAAACTTACAGGTTCAAAACTGATCAATTCTCTCTCATTTCTTGTTTCTATCCAAGAGTTTAAATGTACATGCAAATAGAATATTGAAGTTGAAATTGCTGATATTTGTGTGAAGGCTTTTAGAAACTCCAATGAAATGTCTGTGTTCTAGTATACAGCAGTTTTCTCTGGCTCTGTTATGGGCATAACCAGCTTCTGCACTCACATACCATTCAAATATAAAGTGAAACCTGCTATTTACATGTTTGAAGGTTGGCCACCTTGTCATTTTCAGACGGCTAGGAAATCAAAGATATTTTATCAAAGTGAACAAGGCAAAAGTTTTTATAGAATTAGAAAATGCTACTCATGAATTCATTAAATTTAAGTCTACTTTAAGTACTTTTTTAAAGGGGCTAATAATATAGATTCTGAGACTTCCTACTCATTGCATAGCTTCAGTTAGAAGACTGAAGACGCAGATTCCCATTGGTGACCTGATAAGTCTATTTCTAACTTTCACCTCAGTTTTCAGATCTCAAGACTCTCTCGACAAGACTCAACTGTTTCATTCACTATAAAATATCTGATGAAATGATATTCCACAAAAGAGTATATTTTTTATTTACTGGATCTCTTTAAACCAATTTAGACTAAACAATTTCATCTAATTCCTAAGGTATAGCTCCCTTGAGATAGAATCAAAATAGTCTTTTTCCTAGTCACAGAAAGGGCAATTCTTCTTCATACCCAAAGTATAAACTCATTATTGTTATTTTTTTTTTTTGCTGTCAACACTTTAGAACTTTCTAACAAATAACAGATCTGTGTCTCTTAAATCTAATAAAGAACAAGAAAGCTCTAGGCATACTTTTCTACTGTTAGCGATTATTCTCCTTTAAATAATAGTCTGTAGATTTGGGATTATGTAAGATATTTTGAAACATTAAAAAAAAATTGTCAGCCTTTGAATTCACAGAGAGAATCTGAGTTTTATGTTCCTTCAGAATCTTGATTGAAATCTCTAAAGAAAATCAGAACAGGTATAAACATCCTTGTAACAAAGCAAATTCCTGTTCTAAATCATACAAGGCAGTATAGTGTTCTAGCTACTGAAATTATATTTAAAGATTTAATCCAATTTTAATGTCTTGACCTATGCCCTCCAGCCACAGCCATGGGGGGGGGGGGACAATTCTTCTGTATGCTAATGACAGGCTCTCAATCATGTTCCATGCAAGACCTCCAGAGCAATGTGACCGGTTGGCATGTTACTTTCAGAAACAATAGCTCACTAGCAATTATACTAAAATTAATCACTTTTTATGGAATCAATTTGGCATTCAAATGAAAAAACTAAATCCTCAACTCATCAGGTTGATTCATTCAGTTTTTTTAGAGGTTTATTTTGAGGCTAATTCATTCTGAAGGGCCCAAACCTTTCAGAAAATTATTACGTTTTATGATGCAGGAATCAAGGACCACAATCAAATGTTAGCCAATTTGAGCAGCTCAGGGGGCAGAATAACTTTCTTTCTGCTCAGAAATGGAGTTCGGATCTTAAATTTTCATTAAAAAATTACAAATTTTTCATATAAAAGTTAAAGTACATGACTTTCTCAGTACTTGCCCTCAGGTGTCAGAGATGACCCGTCTGTACTCACCTGTTCCCATAGGGTTTCAGTGATTGATAGATGAATTTCCTATTGAAGTAAGAAACAAAATTTGAGAATGTTACCCTGACTCCTCCAGAACTGAACTGACACATCATGGAATTGGTGGAATACTTGGTAGGATACATTTTTTTGGAATCAAGATAGGCATCTCCAATCACCCCATTGTGGCCCAAAGTCTCCCTCTGTCCTGCTGAGTCATTTTCCAACCCACATCTCCCGGTCTTCTCATGATCTATGTGGTGGGTGACAGGTCCCAATCAAACCCAAATGCTTACCCACACTTATCAATGCCTGCATAGGCTGTCTACCCCTGAAGTCATCTAGTGTGGTAGTGATATTGGAGGTGTTACCTGGTCTTATTAGACAATGGCCCATCAACCAGTCAAGAGCACCTCAATCTACAAAGTCCCTTGCCCTCCAAGATATAGCCCTTGTCAGGCAGCTTTTCTGCCTGGTCATTGTCTCTTCTCCCCTCTCCCCAGGAACCAGGAGCCCAAAGGAACCAGTGTATTTGAATTTCTTACCCACCTGAGGTCTCATTGTATCTTCCTGGGATTTGCTGGTGGAAAGAAGGATGATATAAACCTGATGAGTTACAGGGAACATAAGTTGTTATGGATTGACTTGTGTCCCCCCAAAATATCTGTTGTAAATCCTAACCCCTATACTTGTGGATATAATCCCATTTGAGAATAGGGTTTTCTTTGTTATATTGATGAGACCATACTAGTGTAGGGTGTGTTTTAAGGCAATCACTTTTGAGATATAAAAGAGCAGATTAGGCACAGAAGCAAGCAAGCACAGATTGGGGAAATAGATTCCATGCCACGTGAAGATTGTGAATCAACTGAGTAATAGAAAGTAAAAAGAGTCAAGGACCTTCCCCCAGAGCCAACAGCAAGAGAAAGCCTTTCCCTCAAGCTGGTGCCCTGAATTCAGACTTCTAGCCTCCTAAACTATGAGAAAATAAATTTCTGTTTGTTAAAGCCACACACTTGTGATATTTTCATTATAGCAGCTCTAAGAAACTAAGACATAAGCCAAGGGCCTCCCCTGACTGACCTCTATCCTACAACTTCTAGGAAGAATTCTTGTAATTTCTATACTAAAAATGCAGGAAGGATAGCAAAAGCCTACCCTCTCACTTCTGTTATCCCTGCTGGGACTTGTGGCCTCATCTTCCCAGTATCTTTGCTTTGTAATAGCCCTTTGACAACTCTAGAACACAGAGGAATGGAAGTGATGGTGATGATTGCTACCATTAAGCCTTGCCGTTCACCCATCTAATTGTGTTCACTCTTCACCTTTCACCCCACCAAACTTACTAAATAGCTCAGGTCCCTCCTGAGAAAGTACATCTAGTTATCACTCAAACTGCCTCCTTTTTTCTCCCCACACAAAGCATTTTCCTTTTCCTTCACAACCTCTGAGGTTGTAGATATGGGGATGGAAGATTGAGGAAGAAGTCTAAAAGATTTTGCTTACTTGTTTCTAAAGACCAACAGAATCAGTGCTAACACCAGCTAGGGGAGAGGGTAGCTGTATACAGGGTTAGAGAGTCAAGGAAGGAGAGGGGTGTAAAAGCATGAAAAGTTGGACAACATGTCTGATCTACCATGCTATTGGATCCTGAGCAGACTCAGATTGGATCTTCTGACCCTTTGTAGACCTCTGTAGGGTATTGGGAATTAACTGGAGGAAGGAGAGTATGTCATTACCTCCTAGAATTGTTTCAGAGGCCCTGGAATGCGATCCTCAGAAAGGGTTGGAAAAGAAGGAAAATAATGAAAGGTGGTGGAAGGTAAAACATGTTTCAGAACCCAAGGATCCTTACATCTCTGGCCTAGTATTCCTGCCTATACAGCTCTTGCCATGTGTCATGGATTGAATTGTGTCCCCCAAAAAATGTGTGTATCAATTTGGCTGGGCCATGATTCCCAGTATTGTATGATTGTGTACCATTTTGTAATCTGATGTGGTTTCCTTATGTGTTGTAAACTCTATATCACTAAGATGTAATAACATGGATTAGTGGCAGTTAATGAGACTGATTAGGTCTACAAGATTTGATAGTGTCTTAAGCCAATCCCTTTTGAGATATAAAAGAGAGAAGTGAGCAGAGACACACAGGGACCTCATACTACCAAGAAAGCAGCACCGGGAGCAGAGCGCATCCTTTGGAGCCAGAATCCCTGCATGGAGAGGGCCCTGGTCCAGGGGAGGATTGATGAGAAGGCTGACAGAGAGAGAAAGCCTTCCCCTGGAGGTGATACCTTGAATTTGGACTTGTAGCCTACTAGACTGTGAGAGAATAAATTTCTCTTTGTTAAAAGCCATCCACTTGTGGTATTTCTGTTATAGCAGCACTAGAAGACTAAGACACCATGAAAAGAAGCCCTAAGGCATTCCAAATAAGGGTAAGGAGGCCAGAAAGCACAGGGAACCTGGAGGACAAAGAAGAGAGCAAAAACTGACCCCAAGAAGGCATTAAGCCTAGCGATCTCCAATACTGAGGAGATTGTGAATGGAAAGAACAGGCTAGAAATCAGATCTCTCTCCTTGGGAACTATCCTATCAGATGACTCACACAACTCACCCAGCTCTGCCAGCTAGAGTGTTATTTTTCCACTGAACCTAGGAATAGATATCCCTCACTCCAAATCTAAGCCACATCCCTTACTTTAAAAAAACCCATACTTTTAAGATTCTTCTCCCAGGGATTTCATCTATTTCAGGGAGTGGGGATGGGAGAGAAAATAAGTGGACTTGGGGTTCAGCTGAAGTTTTCTCCACCAGGCTGTTTTAATCCAACGTTTCCTAAACAGAAGCAAAGGGCATTGAGGGGAATGGTTGGAGCGGGAGAGGCGGGAAGGGTGAAGAATATGTATTTGCAATAGAAGTCTAGAAATTTGTTACTGGAAACCGGAGCATAAGAATGCACCTCCGTGAGCCAGGCACTGAGGTAGGTGCTTTGATCCACACATCCAGTCCTCAAACATTCCTGTGAGGGAGGTGTGGCTGCCTACTTTACTGTGGAGCAAACTAATATGCTAAGTAATAGTAATGGAGAAGCTGGAATTCCAACTCAGGCCTGTTTGATTCCACTCTACATTATGAATTCCCTAAAAGAGACTGAGTTGTGTCAACTTGTTTTATGAGCTGAATTATAGGAAGCCTCATTACGTTGCAAGGAGCCTTGCTGGCGCTTGGCTGCTAACCAAAAGTTCAGCGATTTGAACCCACCAGCTGCTCCGCGGGAGAAAGATGTGGCAGTCTGCTTCTGTAAAGATTTACAGCCTTGGAAACTCTATGGGGCAGTTCTACTCTGTACTCTGTCCTATAGGGTGGCTATGAGTCAGAATTGGCTCGACTGCAATAGGTTTTAATTATATTGCAGTATGAAAAATTGCCATGAGTCAGAATTGACTTGATGGTAACTAACAACAACAACAAAAAGAAGAACTTGGAGACAGAAGAGTTTTGTTTGAATTCCAGCTTTACCAGGCTTCATTTCCAGGACTTTTGGCCAATCTCTTTGCCTATATGAATCTGTTTCCTCATCTATAAAACAGGAGGAATGATCTTTACCAAACAAAGTTGAGGGAGAATGGCATGAAATTCTTTTAAACTATAAAGTTCATTTCAAATATTATTGCCATCATTACTATTTTTACAGCATCTTGCCCATTTCTGCTGCCAGAGTATCCATACATCAGAGAGAAGTCATGGCTTTGGTGTGGTTTATGCACTTTCTCATATAGAACTCTAACAGATGTCAATATCTACTCATTATTATCTCCTCATGGTCTTGCAGCTGTCCAGAAAAGAATTCATACTCTTAGATAATGCAGGTTCTCACCTTCCTCCAAGGTTCAGGCTTCTGGATTCCTCACTAGCTCTCAAGTTCAGGCCCAGTTAACTATTCTGAGCATTTTAATAAAAAATAGAAACCTAGAAGACCCTTTTAACTCTTTTTCTCCCTGAATTTCTACAACTCTTCCCTCAAGACATATCCTCCTGCCTTCTTCAAAAGCTCAAACCAAGTCCCAATTCCTTTCTGAAGCTTTCCTGAAGCATAAGTTCACAGCAATCCCTCCTTTTTTTCTGAATTTATGGCTAGCATTGCCTGGGACTCATTCAGCCTCAAGCATCAGATTCTGGTCTTCTTCTCCACCCCAGTGCAAGGGAAGAATAGTTTTGGATGGCTGGCCTTGATTCACACTATAGGGGCCATAAAGGACTTAGAGAAAGTCACCTCTGCAATAAAGAAATGTCTCTAGGTTGCATAGTTACCCTACTCCACCTGCTAACTCCTAGACGAATTGCAGACTGATATCCACCCTTGGAGCCTTGGTGGCACAGTGGTTAAGAGCTATGGCTGCTAACCAAAAAGTTGGCAGTTCTAATCCACCATCTGCTCCTTGGAAACCGT